TAAACTGAGCAAATCTCAAGTTGGTGGTCTGGAGTTCAATTCCAGCTAGAGCAAAAACACCACCAGCACCCCGGGTAGATGGGACTCGTTAACCTTGGACGGCAACTCATCTAAGAGAAGGAAACTCTGAAATCAAACCCGGAGATGGAGTCCCGAAAGGCGGATAACATTGATACAATGAAACATTCCGACAACTCCTGCGACGTCACTGGTGCCAAGTTGTATCATCCAATGATGTTCCCTTGGGTTACCCAGCGGCGTGGAGGAAAGGCGATTTGCTGTTGGGAACCAGCTTATAATCCTTCAAGTATAATAATCCCAGGCTATGTGGATTTCGTCATACGAAGCCCACTCCATCGTCACATTGTGACGGACGGATGCCAGCAAAAAAAAACTACATTATTTAGTATTTTTTTACCACCGTCTCTTTACACTGTGCAGTTTATCTTATCAGCACTTACATTAGCTACGCAACTAGGTAGTGAAAAATGGGCACCACTATTAGCGATCAGGGTCAGCTATATTTTTATTGGGAAGTTGGACAGAAATCTATGTTGTCAATGGCCCATGAGCAGAAAAAAAAGGCGATTGGGAGATTGGGAGATCTGGAAAAGGAATTTTTCAATCGTACGCTGGAGGCAATCTTGGCAATCAGGGTTTCTTTCATCCAGGTAGATCTCCGGTTGAAAAAAAAAAGGGGTGGGGGGGGGGTTGGAGTAAATGTGTACAAAAATATAAATATTATTTTTAAAATTGAAAACGACTTAAACAGTGGTTACCGGAAATTTGTTTGAAAGAAATTTCGTCGGGAAAATTGATCGACGGAAGTTTGAGCGAACGAAAATTTGGTAAAATTTTAATTTCAATTGACACGATGAAATTTTCGTCAAATTTCTTTTTGAACGCACAATACTATGTATCTGGTAAAACAAAAACAATGCGTTAAAAAAAAGCCATATAGTATTCCTAATTTTAAATTTTCCAAATAAATAATTTCCTTTAAGAAACTGGTGATTAAAAATTTCATGTTTAAAAAAAAAATGAAAATAACACCTCTCTCCTTTTCCACTCAGCTTATAAAACTACTTAGAAAACGTCTTCTGAAAAATATGCAAGGAAATAGAATCCATTTGTGTGTGGTGCTGTTAAGGCATAGACTTTCGGGTTGTTAAGATGCAATGGTGGTTGCCGCGTGGTTGTCGCATGGTTGACGACTGAAACAATGTAAATGATGTAAAACTGCAACCCCAGCTTAAGGAGTTCGAAAGGGTTTCATCTACGCTTCTCAAAGAACACTAGGCTGGGCTATACAACGACTCAATATAGTCTGGACTATATAACGGCTAAATAAGGGCTTGACTATACAACGACCCAATATTGGGTGGACTATACTAAGCGATGAGTTCTAGTTAACAGTGATTAGTTAAGTGAATAGCTGCTAGTTAAGCGATGAGCCATAGTTAACAGTAATTAGTTAAGTGAATAGGTGCTAGTTAAGCGATGAATTCTAGCTTACAGTGAATAGTTAAGTGAATAGCTGCAAGTTAAGCGATGAGTTCTAGCTAACAGTGATTAGTTGAGTAAATAGCTGCTTGTTAAGCGATGAGTTCTAGTTAACAAAGATTAGTTAAGTGAATAGCCGCTAGTTAAGCGATGAATTCTAGTTAACAGTGATTAGTTAGGTGAATAGCTGCTAGTTAAGCGATGAGTTCTAGTTAACAGTGATTAGTTAAGTGAATAGCTGCTAGTTCACAGTGATTAGTTAAGTGAATAGCTGCTAGTTAACAGTGATTAGTTAAGTGAATAGCTGCTAGTTAAGCTATGAGATCTAGTTAACAGTGATTAGTTAAGTAAATAGCTGCTAGTTAAGCGATGAGTTCTAGTTAACAGTGATTAGTTAAGTAAATAGCTGCTAGGTAAGCGACGAGTTCTAGTTAACAATGATTAGATAAGTGAATAGCTGCTAGTTAAGCGATGAGTTCTAGTTAAACGTTATTAGTTAAGTGAGTAGCTGCTACTTAAGTAATGAGTTCTAGTTAACAGTGATTAGTTAAGCGAGTAGCTGCTAGTTAAGTGATGAGTTCTAGTTAACAGTGATTAGATAAGTGAGTAGCTGCTAGTTAAGTTATGAGTTCTATCTAACAGTGATAAGTTAAGTGAGTAGCTGCTAGTTAAGTGAATAGTTCTAGTTAAACGTTATTAGTTAAGTGAGTAGCTGCTAGTTAAGTAATGAGTTCTAGTTAACAGTGATTAGTTAAGTTAGTAGCTGCTAGTTAAGTGATGGGTTCTAGTTAACAGTGATTAGTTAAGTGAGTAGCTGCTAGTTAAGGGATGAGTTCTAGTTAACAGTGGTGATAGTTAAGTTTTTAGCTGTTAGTTAAGCGATGAGTTCTAGTTAACAGTAATTAGTTAAGTGACTAGCTGCTAGTTAAGTAATGAGTTCTAGTTAACAGTGATTAGTTAAGTGATTAGCTGCTAGTTAAGTGATGAGTTTTAGTTAACAGTGATTAGTTACGTAATAGCTGCTAGTTAAGTGATGAGTTCTAATTAACAGTGATTAGATAAGTGAATAGCTGCTAGTTAAGCGATGAGTTCTAGTTAATAGTGATTAGTTCAGAGAATATCTGCTAGTTAAGCGATGAGTTTTAGTTAACAGTGATTAGTTTATGAATAGCTGCTAGTTAAGCGATGAGTTTTAGTTAACAGTGATTAGTTAAGTAAATAGCTGCTAGTTAAGCGATGAGCTTTAGTTAACAGTTATTAGTTAAGGGAATAGATGCTTGTTAAGCGATGAGTTCAAGTTAACAGTGATTAGTTAAGTTTTTAGCTGCTAGTTAAGTGATGAGTTCTAGTTTACAGTGATTAGTTAGGTGAATAGCTGCTAGTAAAGCGATGAGTTTTAGTTAACAGTGATTAGTTAAGTGAGTAGCTGCTAGTTAAGTGATGAATTTTAGTTAACAGTGATTAGTTAAGTGAATAGCTGCTAGTTAAGCGATGAGTTTTAGTTAACAGTGATTAGTTAAGTAAATAGCTGCTAGTTAAGCGATGAGTTAAAGTTAACAGTGATTAGTTAAGTTATTAGCTGCTAGTTAAGTGATTAGTTCTAGTTAACAGTAATTAAATAAGTGAATGGCTGCTAGTTAAGCGATGAGTTCTAGTTAACCGTGATTAGTTAAGTGAAAAGCTGCTAGATAACAGTTATTAGTTTAGTGAATAGCTGCTAGTTAAGTGATGAGTTCTAATTAACATTGATTATTTAAGTGAGTAGCTGCTAGTTAAGTGATGAGTTCTAGTTAACAGTGATTAGATAAGTGAGTAAGTGCTAATTTATGATGAGTTCTTGTTAACAGTGATTAGTTAAGCGAGTAGCTCTTAGTTAAGTGATGAGTTCTAGTTAACAGTGATTAAATAAGTGAGTAGCTGCTAGTTAAGTGATGAGTTCTAGTTAACAGTGATTAGTTAAGTGAGTAGCTGCTAGTTAAGTGATGAGTTCTAGTTAACAGTGATTAGTTAAGTGAGTAGCTGCTAGTCAAGTGATGAGTTCTAGTTAACATTGATTAGTTAAGTGAGTAGCTGCTAGTTAAGTGATGAATTTTAGTTAACAGTGATTAGTTAAGTGAGTAGCTGCTAGTTAGTGATGAGTTCTAGTTAACAGTGATTAGTTAAGCGAGTAGCTGCTAGTTAAATGATGAGTTCTAGTTAACTGTGATTAGTTAAGCAAGTAGCTGCTATTTAAGTTAATAATTCTAGTTAACAGTGATTAGTTAAGCGAGTAGCTGCTAGTTAAGTGATGAGTTCTAGTTAACAGTGATTAGACAAGTGAATAGCTGCTAGTTAAGTTATGAGTTCTATCTAACAGTGATAAGTTAAGTGAGTAGCTTCTAGTTTAGCGATGAGTTTTAGTTAACAGTGATTAGTTAAGTGAATAGCTGCTAGTTAAGTAATGAGTTCTAGTTAACAGTGATTAGTTAAGTTAGTAGCTGCTAGTTAAGTGATGAGTTCTAGTTAACAGTGATTAGTTAAGTGAGTAGCTGCTAGTTAAGGGATGAGTTCTAGTTCACAATGGTGATAGTTAAGTTTTTAGCTGTTAGTTAAGCGATGAGTTCTAGTTAACAGTAATTAGTTTAGTGAGTAGCTGCTAGTTAAGTAATGAGTTCTAGTTAACAGTGATTAGTTAAGTGATTAGCTGCTACTTAAGTGATGAGTTTTACTTAACAGTGATTAGTTACGTAATAGCTGCTAGTTAAGTGATGAGTTCTAATTAACAGTGATTAGATAAGTGAATAGCTGCTAGTTAAGCGATGAGTT